CTTAGCAGACTCTGGTTCACAGTTACGGCTATGATGCTCCCGGCCTAGCCGGCACCACGGGAGCCCAGACCTGGACCCAGGCCCGCGCCCAGGCCGCCCAGGAAGCTGCTGCCGGGAGAGGCTGGAGGACCTGGTGCAGTGCTGGGTGCACTCTTGTGCAAGCGGCTGCTGAAGGCGGTCTGGGCCGGAGTGGACACCTTGTAGGACTCCGACAAATCAAGAAGGGTAATCAGGGGGCCGGCAAGTGGTATGGTGGTTAAAGGCGCTGGACTTCCACATGGTCGACTGCGGTTCAAGTCTCAGACCTGGTGGCTTGCTTTCTCACTTCCTCTCTCTCTCTCTGTCTCTCTCTGATCAAACTGGAAAATAATAATGATGATAATAAATAAAAGTTAATTTTTTTTAAAAAAAAGGGTAATCCAAGGAAAGCCTCTCTGTTATGTTGCTGCAGCCCCTCCTCGCCCCAGCCTGCCCCAGCGCTGACCGCCCATCTTCCCTCTGCAGGCGAAGGAATGGTTCTGAGTACACACCTAAGCATGTCACTGCCCACGGCGGCCTCAGCACTCGCAGCAGTAAGCACATGTCCCTTAGCAACACACATGAGGTCCCCCCCTGCCCCAGTCTGGCTCCCACCTCGTCCACACCCACAGGATTCAATCCACAAAACCAACTCACTAAGCTACCAACGGGCACCCAGCTGGACTCCTTCACGGACCTTTCGGGCAGGCTTCCTGGACTGCACCTGGTGAGGAGAACTGGGTGCCCTTCTCCAGGGGCCCAAAGCCCCTCCAGCTTATCTCTAACTCTGCACTAACCACAGCTGATTTTTTTTTAAAAAGTTTTTGCTATAGGGCATGTGCTCTCACCAGAGAGAGACAGAGAGGAAAAGGTTGCATGGCTACACTACACTCCCTTCTCTTGTCTCCTCTGGAGTTTGGGCACGCATGCACATGCACCTGGTGTGATTTTCAGGCTGCCGGGTCCAGGACTCGAACAACACAGCCAGTCCACAAACCTCTATGCCACCTGCTTGCCCACCGCACTTGGCATTTTACAGTGGTTATCAAAGTAATTCAAAATGAAAAAGACAGACTTCTCAATAAATGGTGCTGGAAAATTGGTCATCTAAAGGTAAACCTCATACCGTACATATAAATTAATTTAAATGTATTATAAACCTAAACAAAAAGCTCAAACTATACAATTCTAGAAGAAAGCCTTTGTGACTTCCCCTTAAGGTAGGCGAAGATTTCTTAGGACAAAAAACATGATCCATCAAGGAAAACTTTTATAAATCGATTGCTGTCACAATCACAAACTTTGGTTCTCTGAAAGATATCATCAAGAAATTTTTTTAAAAATTTAAAACGAAAAGAAAAAGACAGGACCAGCCACATAGCCTTATGGTTAAGGAAGCCAGAGCCCACGTGGTTGACCATGGTTCAGATCCCTAGCCCAGAATGTATGCATGTGCACCTCCAAATCCCAACAGGAGGGAGAAATGGAGGAGAAGAAATTGTGGCATGACTGCCCCATTGGGGCAGGGGCTTTCTCCCTCTCTCACTGTCTCTCTGGTGAACACACATTTTAAAAAGCAGACACCACATTCTGCCATGAACTTTCATACATTGCTGGTGGTAATGTAAACAGTTTAGCCACTTTGAAAAACTGCCTCCCTGACAGCTTTCTATAAAGTTAAAAACAAAAACAAAACAAAGGCCAGTGTCAGTAGCACGGGCAACAGCTTACTGATCTGAGCAGCTCACATGGGTTTGGAGCTGAAGGCAACCTGAAGCACACCCAGCAGGTGCATCCAAGATCCCGATTGGCTGGAGGGCTGGGGCAAGGGGATGGAAGCTTAATGACAACACGCTGAGGGCTTCTCGCTCTCTCGCGCATGTTCTCACTCCTTTACTCGCTCACAAAACAAATAAACTTACACATAAATAGATAAGAATAAAGTTAAAGATTTCCTATATAACCAATACCCACTTCTAGGTATCTTTCCCAAGAGAAATGAAAGCATCTGTCCACACACCAAGACTTGTGTGGGAATGTTCTAGTTGGCTTTAATCACTATACCCCAAACTGGAAAAAACCAGATGGGCAGCAACAATCCAAAGGTCTCCCTCCGGGTCCTGGGAGGATGCTTCGGAAGCAGCTGCAACTCCATCTTGGAGGAGAGCCTCCCTTATAAACTGTCAAATTCCTATGACTAGAAACTCACCTTCTCCTTTTTGCCTAAGAATGATTAACATTCCTATTGTCCTTAAAACCACAGCCCTCCTAGTTGCCTTAAGATACAATGTCTAGTCCCCAGACCTTGCCCAGAACCATGGGAACCACTGAGACGCCTTGTGTTTAGACAGGGAGGGAACAGTACCCTCAGGGTTGATTAACCTGCTTACCTCTAGTTCTGCCTCTGTGCTGTGCTTTTGCTTGCTTTTAGGGTTGTAAAATCTACCCCCTCCCCTTCCAGGCCTGCTGGGACCAAGCAGTTAACACAAGCTGAGTATGAAAGAACTGCCCCTCAGGCCTAGAGCAAGGACTCGGGTGAGGAGAACTGTTTGCAAGGTCAACAGTTTTACGAGTTCTGCACCTCACCTCTATTGTGTCACTGTACTGGCCTGCACTCAGTTTCTCTGCCATGGGCCTTATTGCCATACCCCGGTACCCCATAAAGGCACCCCCAGCCTTACTATAAGTTTTACAATAATCCTGAAAGAATGCGGATCCACTAAGGCGGCAGCTGCATAGGGTGGCGGCTGCGAACAGGAGTTACTCCCATTAGACTCATCCCACCCTCCTGGAAAATGTCAATAAAGAATGCTACATTTACTTCTCCTACTGGGGATTACTAGTGGGCGAAGGATCTCAGTAGCCGAGAGGGGCTCAGGGACTCATCCACGAGATGCTGTTACCCCAAAGACCATAAGCCACCCTTACTCTCAGGACAAGGGAAGATCGCCATTCCCCAAGCCACGGTCATTGTATAGAGCAGCATGTAGAGAGTCC